CAACCCTGCCTTTCAAAGAAGCCGCTGAACTGGCAAAATCAGTGTCACGGCATCAGTGGTGTCTGGCTGCTGTGAGCCGGCGTTCAGAGCCAGTGGAGGCTAAAACGCAGCTGGACTTGAAGGCTGAATCGTTCCAGCACCGGCCTGCGTGGCCGGCTCCTCAGCAAACAAACAGCTTTTCTTCCCCGGGTGCTGCACACAGCTTCTGCTTGCTCGTGACAAGCAGACAAAAGCGCGACTGTGCCCAGTGCAGGGGAATGGCCGCGTAGCGGGAAGCTGGGATGGATGTAGTGGCTGGCAAGCGAGTCTGCTGGGGTGGCCAATGGCTTGGCCAGTGCAGCTTGAACTGGAGAGACTGGGTTTAATGACTCCTGAGTCCGCTCTCTCTGCTCAATCCTCCTGTGCTTTGCTGGCCGCTGTTCCATCCAGCGGGGCTGGTTGCAGCTGCAGAGATGGAGATGTGTGGGGAAGGGGCAAGAGCGAGATGTGTGTGCCTGCGCACTCTGATGGTTTCACAGACTCTTCCCATTCTTGTTTGCCTCCGGGGTCGGAAACGGAGGGGATAAATGACCTCCCAGCTTGCTGTAACAACCGTCGGGGCCCCTACTGTCATGTTGAATTAGGATGGGTAAAGCCCAAATGGGTTAGGATGCTGGTATTTCGGGTGTCCCGGAGGACTTGTTTAGGTGACGTGTCATCTCTTGTCCCCTACCTGATGAGCCTGGCGGGATTTCCTCTCTGCAGCTGTGTCCTGAGCCCTGCTGCTGTTTTCCTCACGCGCTCCCCCCCTTTCCTTGCCCTCAGCCACGCTGCGAGCTGTGGCTCCGGTACTGGGGTCGGGGCGGTGGTGTGCATGCCAGGGGGATCTGTCCAACGGCTTAGATGAGCCTGGAAGTAGCTGGAGAGAAGCGGGGTGTGTGTTTTGGGTTGCTTTCTTTAATAATGAGCTTGGGCGGCTCTGCCTTGCTACCTCAGATGTGGCCATAGGTAGGAGGTGACGGGTGCTGGGGAGGGAAACCCCCTCCATTCCTCCGAGGCATTTAGGTGCCTAATTTGGTGTTTAGATGCCCTGATTGCTTTGACGCAGGAGGCACTGGAGTGTCCTGGGGATATGGGCCTCGGGTGCTCTCGGCCCGTGTGGGTGATGACAGACCTTGCAGAAACGCAGGGAGGACGCACTGCAGAAGTTTCATCTCTGCTGGGGCGTAGAAGAAGGCACAAGAGGTTTATTAGCCACCAGAAGAGCACAAGGGATTTATCTCTTGCCGGCAGCATCTTTAAGATGAGGCTTCTGCAATAAGAGCAAGCAGCTTTGACCAGTAAAACTGAAAAAATCCAGGGCCAGGGCCTCGAGTTTGGCTTTCCTGGTGTCTGCAGCTTGTCCTCGGAGTCTGAGAGGGTTTTTTCTCCCTGTACCTGGAGGATCTGTGTATCACTGAGCTCAAAAGCTTTGAGGAGGGGAGGCGTCTGTCAGACAGGCAGGGACGTGAACGTATTGCTGGGATAACTGCGTAAGCATTTATTCTATAGGCAACCCAGGTGGGGAGACTGTTAGTAACACGGAAGGGGATATTTGCAAGAGAAGTGAAGAGCACAGGGGAATGATGCGCCAAGACAAGGGAGGTTTTGGTGTTTGTTTTCTTTTTTCTTGAGCATGAGGCTCAGGAGATGGAGGCGACTGATTCTTACATCTGACTCGTGCAGTTGGTCTCAGCAGGGAGAAGCTGCTGCTTTGGGTTTCTTCTCATAGCCCACTGCTCTCCAAGATCCTTGCTGCTACCTTCATCCCTGGCACAGTTGCCTCCCCTGGCAGGCAGAGGTTTTCCGATGTTCCCCTCCATCTCCCTTCAGGCTGCAGAGCAAACTGATGCTTTACGGTGCAGCCTTGCCCATCTGCAGGGCAACTCCAGCCACAAGAGCCCGTATGAGAGGGACCTGGGAGTCCTGGGGGACAACAAGGTGGCCATGAGCCAGCAGGATGCCCTGGTGGCCAAGAAGGCCAATGGCACCCTGGGGTGCATCAAGAGGAGCATGGCCAGCAGGGCGAGGGAGGTTCTCCTCCCACTCTGCTCTGCCCTGGTGAGACCCCACCTGGGGCACTGTGTCCAGTTCTGGGCTCCCTGGTTCAAGAAAGATGAGGAACTCCTGGAGAGAGTCCAGGGGAGGGCAACAAGGATGATGGGGGGACTGGAGCATCTCCCCTAGGAGGAAAGGCTGAGGGAGCTGGGCTTGTTCAGCCTGGAGAAGAGAAGGCTGAGAGGGGATCTCATCACCACCTACAAATATCTCAAGGGTGGGGGTCACGAGGATGGAGCCAGACTCTTCCCAGTGGTGCCCAGCACCAGGACAAGGGGCAATGGGTACAAAATGAAACATAAGAGGTTTCAGTTGAATATGAGGAAGAACTTGTTGACTTGGAGGGTGTCCAAGCCCTGGCCCGGGCTGCCCAAGGGGGCTGTGGAATCTCCTTCTCTGGAGATATTCAACCCCCGCCTGGATGAAGTCCTGTGTAACATGCTCTGGGAGAACCTGCTTTAGCAGGGGGGTTGGACTAGATCTCCCGAGGTCCCTTCCAACCCTTGCGATTCTGTGATTCTGTAATTACGGAGCCCAAGCAGGGCTGGGTCGTGTGGTGTGATGGCTTTTGGGGAACGTGGTCTCAGCAGAAGCATCAGGGTTGCTACCCCCTTGTTTAGGCTTGCTGCTAAACCGTTCTCTGCCTGCCTGCATGGAAAGCGGACTCAAGGATGGACCTTATGGAAAAGCTGGCTGTAATGAGATTCTCCCAGAGGAAAGGGCACACGGTTGACATGAGGTGTTATGCAGACAGTCTAAGCTCAGGCAATTACAGAGCAGCGAGGGAATCCTCCTGCACCAGAGCTCCTGATGGGAATGACTGAGGTGCTGAGTCACGGCTCCTCTGGGGGATGCTTTAATATTCAGTGAAAGGTGAGAAAGGATATGATAAAGCCATTAAAGATATGGTGTCACCACAGGCAGGAATTAACCCTGGTGTCCTGGTTGGGCTGGAGTTTGCAGAAGGGGTTTCCCACCTTTGTTTCTCCGAGATGGTCCTAATAAGATGCAGGAGTGGGAAGGGAGCAGAGTGCGTCCCAGCAAGCCTCTGTTTTGCAGTGCAACAAGAAAACCTCGGAATTTGGGCCTCTTGAGCTGTAGTCAATCACTGGGGTCAGATTATTGCAGCTGGGGTGGGAACCAGGTGATGGGAGCTGATCTCTCTGGCTTCTGCTTCAGGCACGAGCCCAAGCTATGGCAGTGGTGGGTACCCAGGGGACACCGAGATGCTCACGACCTTCAGCTGGGATGACAGGAATGTACGCAGAGTGTTCATCAGGAAGGTAAGGGGCAAGGCTCTCTGGGCTCAGCCTTACCCTGCGAAGGCAGGAGACCAGCTCTGAGCCCTTGGAGGGACCTGGCTGCAATGGCTTTGCTGGGTGGGAACGGAGAGTCTGCAGGTCACCTGTGGGCTACCTCTTGTTGCAGGTTTATGCCATCCTGATGGTCCAGCTCCTGGTCACTGTCGTTATTGTGGCTTTCTTCACCTTCTGGTAGGTCTCTTTGCTTTGTCCTGTGTATGACCTGCTCCTGCATTACCTGTTACTTGGGGGTGTTGTCTGTTATGTAGATACCTGAATTTTTTTCTCCACATGCTCCAATAGAAAAACAAAACCGAGGGAACCCTGAGAGGTACTCCTGCTGCCTTCCCTGCAAGTCCTCTGGATGGTGCATCGTCCCTTCTGGGTGCCAGCCCCAGCCAAGAGGCCTGGGCTGCTTGCCCTTGAGTATTACCTGCTGTATTTTTGCTTTGGGAGTTATCAAGGCCATCAGCTCCCAGCTTACCTCGGCTTTAGGGACTGGGTTACCTCCCCTTGCAGAAGCAGATACCCCACGCTCGAGCAGCGGCTGTCTCTAGCTCGGATGACTGAGCATTTTGGGCATGTGCAGCTCACATTGCCTCCAGAATAAATAATGAATCACTGTCAGCCTGAGGATTTCAGCTCTTTAATCACTTCTCAGAGAAGGCAGCAGCCGTTCCCCGAGCAAGCCTGACTGTGTAATTGATAACAGCAGGGCCATCTTTCCCACTTGACAGGTTGAATTTCTTTCCAGTTGGTCAGCCTACTAGATAGATTCAGCCATGGGGTTTTTTTTCCCCCCATACTCCATGCTGCATCACCCCATGTGTGTTCCCAGGTTTAATCTAGCAGCAACCTGTGAAGGGATTGGCTTTTTTATGCTTTCCACTCAGCATCCTTTTTCTCTGTCTTGCAGCGAGCCGGTCAAGGGGTACATTCAGACACACGCTGCCTGGTATTGGGCTTCCTAGTGAGTATCTCTGCCTCCTCCTATGGCCATGTATGCTCCAAACAGCCCTGGGTGTGGCCGTGGTGATGGGGGGACACTTTCCAACCACTTTTTGTGTCTTGTGTGTGAAGAATTGCACTAATGCGTGTGCAGGGTGAGCTGGGGAAATTAATGGATAACTCTGAGGTGAGAAGATAGAAACTCTCGCCTAAATTTGAGATGTGAGATATGCTAGATCTCTCCGAGGGCTTACTGCTCTACAAACCAGGATCAAGTAAATGCATGAGTATTGCTTGCAGAGCAAACCAGGTAAAACTGGGGAGCTTCCAGGAAAATGGTGTGGAAATGCAGATGTGAGACCTGAAAGGGTGCCTAGGGTACCTCAGAGGGCTCAGTTTGGGGTTTGTCCCATTGAAAGCAAGGAGATCGCCTGGGTCTACATTGCATGCCTTGATATGCAACAGATGAAGGGTGCAGGCGATGTTAAGGGGGTGGAGATGCATCTGGAGATGTTAGGAAGTTTGTGGGGCTACCGCACCCGGCTCTTGATCACAGAGCTGTTCTTGGTGTCCAGAATTTGGGATGCCGTTCATTAGCCAAGCCCGAGCCGAAAGGTCAGCTCGGAGGTAGCGTAGGCTGTGCTTCCATGCGTTAGAATATTTGCAGTTGTGCTGGTTTCCTGCATGCCACTCGTGTTAGTGCTGCTCATTAAGCAGGCAGAGTGTGCGATGCAATTGTCTGTGAACAAGGCTCTGTGAACTTGGCTTTAATTAGGTCACACCCAAATCATGAAATGTGTCCGGGCCCGGAGATGAGACATGAGCTTATATAACTTAAAGACCCAAAATAGCAGTAATAGAAGGGAATTGGCATCAGCTTGCCTCTTCAGCCTTAAAGGAGAATTGTGTGCTCCGTCTTGGCCAGTTGGTAGGTTGAAGAAGCAGTGTTGCCTTGTAGGGAGACAAGGCCAAGTTCTGCTCAGGCTTGTGCTTTGACCTTTGGGTTCATATCCTGCAGCTTACTGGACAGTTAGCACTTTTATCTTTCAGTGGGAGCAAACACGCCTTGGGCCAGCCGGCAATAGGCTCTGTACTTGAGGGACTTAAATTTTATCTGTCCCTTCACCTCCCAGCGAGCCAAGCCTTCCCTCCATCGCAGTGTCTCCAATTGCTTGTCCTGACCTGGGTCTGGATCTCTTTCATACACAGAGACCCCCAACTCTCTATATATTATCTGTAAAATAGAAGTGAGTGCCCTAAGGTGTTTTCCTACTGCTGGGGTGATGGCTCAGAGGGAATCGAGCAAGAGCAGATGCGCAACAAGGGATGCGAAGGAGATAGACAACTGCAGTGGCTCCGTCTGCTCCCTATGTGCATCTATCTCCATCTCTTCAGCCGTGTCCACTCCAGCTTTCCTGGTTTCCCCATAGGAGAGCAATGCTCAGGTTTATCTCCGGTGCATTTATCACGGCCCGTGGGTTTTGCCGTCATGTTCATTTATTAGACCTAAGGTGCCTGGCTATCGTGCAGCCATCGGCATGCTTGGAAGCTGCTTTCCCCCCCCAGGCGCTGGGTGAAAGCAGGTAAGCAGGTTCCCACTATGCCATAACCCATCAGCACTGTGGAAAAACACCCGGGCTGCGTGACATCCAGAGCAGAGGGAAACCATCCCTCAGCTGTTGGATTTTTTTTGCTTTGCTGAAGGGTCAAGTCATGCGAGATAAATAACTCTCCTGTGACCTGGGGATGGCTTGTGCAACAGCATATGAGGCTTGGGACTGTGAGCTTCACAGACCTTAGAGGATCCTTCTGCTGTTGAACTCTTCCTCGAGCGCTGGTGCGGTAACATGGGACCAGTTCCCTTCTCTGACACAGACCTTCCCTCTGGCCTTAGGCAAGTTGCTTTCACCAACCCTGTGAACCTTGGTTTAAGTGCTGAAATCCCAGCAGGATGCCTTGATCCCACCGAGCCAGAAAGTGCCTGGAAATGAGGGGCATATCCTGGCCACCTCCGCATGAACAACAGATGTGCTGGCGAGGTGTCCACAGCAAACATGGTTGGGTGCTCCATCTGTCCTAGGCCTGAATGCTACCCTTGCTCTGCTCTAAAACCATCCTGTGGGTTTTTCAGGGGTGGTTGTGCTGTCCCACCTTGGGCTGGCAGGAGCAAAGGAGAGGCAGTTACCGCCTCGCTTCCTACCCAGCCTCAACTTCTGGCATGGCGCTTGTGTTTTAAACAGTGCGGCAGAGCACTGAAACTTGTCATAGCATCATGGAATTGTTTAGGTTGGAAAAGACCTTTAAGATTGTCAAAAAAGACCATTGAGATCGTTGTCAGCTGGAGACTTTTCTCCTGCACCAACAACCAATACTTGGGTTTTCCTCCCTAATCTGCTCTTTTCCTTTTCTTTGTAGTGCTGTTTTCTTTGTGACCTACTTGATTCTTGCTTGCTGCTCTGGACCCAGGTAAAATATTTTCTTTTTGGATTTGAAACAGCCCTGTGAAATGAAGGGCAAATGTTTTTCCTCTCATTTCAAGCATGACCAACGATGTTGCGGGGATAGGATAGGGTCACGCTGACACAGTGCTGCAGGGACTGAGGTGGCAGCTGCATTTTCAGGCCTGATGCAGTGGTGGGTTGCTGCAACACAGCGTGAAAAGCTGAAGTCGAATTGCAGCTGGAAAGGAAGCCATGTTGTAGCAAAAGTTGCATCACTGTAGAGCTCCAAATTCTCATCATTAAATCCTGCAGAGGATGGTTGTCTGTTCTCAGTGGAGCAGGGCTGACTGCTTTTCTGGAATATCACAGAATCCCAGCATGGCAGGGGTTGGCAGGGCCCTCCGGAGCTCACCCAGTGCCACCCCCCTGCTCAAGCAGGCTCACCCAGAGCAGGGGGCACAGGACAGCGGCCAGGCGGGGGTTGAATATCTCCAGAGAAGGAGACTCCACAGCCCCCCTGGGCAGCCTGCGCCAGGGCTCCATCACCCTCCAAGTCAAGAAGTTCTTCCTCAGGTTCAACTGGAACCTCTTCTGCTTCAGGTTGTGCCCATGGCCCCTTGTCCTGGCGCTGGGCACCACTGGGAAGAGTCTGGCTCTGTCCTTGTGACCCCCCACCCTTGAGATATTTGTAGGTGTTGATGAGATCCCCTCTCAGCCTTCTCTTCTCCAGGCTGAACAAGCCCAGCTCCCTCAGCCTTTCCTTGTAGGGGAGGAATATATCATGGGAATGTTGGTCTAGGAGCACCCCAGATGCTCTCTCATTCCCAGAAGGATGACTGTCCCCTTGCACCACCCCTGCCGCTTGCTGCCCAGGCCATTAATTATGTGGCCCATCTTAGGCAACCTGTTGTGCAGCGCTGCTAACTACCTCTGGCCTCAGCATCGCAGGGCTGACCAGCGCCTCTTTCTTCACTTGCAGGAGGTATTTCCCATGGAATCTGATCCTGCTGAGCATCTTTGTAAGTAGCACATCTGGACAGCATCTGCCCTGCCCCTGCGACCGGTCTGGGCTTCATAATGGCTCCAAGCAGGAGAGATGTCTGGTCTGGATTCCTGCAGAAAGCAGGAATTTCATCCTCTAATTGCCCTGCACTTGGGCTGATGTGCTTTAACTGAATTAGAATGTGATAAGCAGGAAAGAAGGGAGCCTCTGTTTTTAAAAAAAACCAAAGCCTGTGGAGGCTGGTCAATGTTGGGAGCTGGAGTCCTGTGCAAGAGGGGCAGAGGGATGGAGAAGGTGAGACTGCACTCAGGGTGGTGGCCTGCCCTCACTTTAACCTGCCCTGCAGATATTAATCACTGGAGGATTAGAGACTATGTAAAAATTACCTCTCTTGAGCATCTGTTTAAGAGGCTTCGCTGCCCTTATCGCTGTAATGGCAATGTTTTATCTGTTGTGCGTGACTCCCTGGGATGTGA